GGCTTATCAGTGGATCTGAAATGAGAAATTAACGTTCAGTACTGCACTTGAATTAGTATACGATTCAAATTTCATCGTAATTTTCTTCCGATTTGATAAGAATGGATTCAAAGAGAATCAATCAAGTTAATAAACAGGAATTAATTCAAAATCAAATCACATCAATACAGTACCATTTCTGCCATTGTCAACCGCGTTCCATGCATCTGCGTCATCCGCATCGAAAAGATCCGTATCATATCCTGAATGTGAAATTTTTATGCTACCTAGCACTGGGGCAATAAATGAGTGAAAGCCCATTGATGAGAGATTGCATATGACTGTTACGATATTAGTAGGATCATATGCATGAAGATCGACTCTACTCATGGACGGTTCTACTTGTCGAGAGTTAATCAGCTAAAGAGCAATTACAGCATTTAGCGCAGAATCAGTGAGCCCAAATAATGAGATCAAAAATTAAACATACCATCTCCGAATGTTTGTATTGTGATTGGGTACGCGAAACAATAACTGAGGTGCAAAACCAGAACGATGATGGCAAAGGAATACATCTCTGCAATGAGGAAATCTTGAATTAACCGATGCTTCTATCATTCGCAATCAATTCCTTCGGCACTCAAGCGGACACCAGAATAAGTCATGGATCAAATCGATGAGGTGCAATGTAAGATGATGGTATGATGAAGATGAACGATATTAAAATAGCGCCCAACAAAGTTGATTCATGATGAAAAGCGAGGCAGAGAAGAACCACAGACAATTGTTCAGACCGTTATTTTTAAAAAAAAAACTTCATCATGTACAACACCAGTATGACGTGAACGGATTGAGCAAGACAGATTGCATATGAATCGATGTCGGCTAATTGCCGGCGAACAATGCATTTTATCAAATATCGAAGGCTTAAATTCGCTTGAACTGAGTGATGCCAATGACATATCCAATGATAAGCAGATTACACAATGAAAATTATCGAAATATGTTCCCATGCAGAATCTGGGCGCACTCTGCATCACTCTCTATCGCTTTGTACTTTTAATTTCAATATTATTCTCGGTTTTCATTGCTCATTTGCATTGAAAACTGCAAACAGTCATTCACATTCACAGAAAATTGCTCAATGGCAGTTTCATCACGAATATTTCACTCTTCATGTTAGTCTCCATATTGTCATTAGAAAGCGAATTTGCAGCACATGTCGTGAACTGTCCCTAAAGATAGTCAAACAAGATGCTGTTATTGGGTCATCAAAGTACGTTGATAAATTGAAATGAACAATATGCAGGCACATGTTTACAAATGTTATTTGCTCTTGTGAAAAGTTGATCCATTCCGAGAAAGGCGATATGGACACTCGATTG